ATGGCCCATGTCCCCCAGGTAAGAAAGACTCTTGATGTAGGCTGAGGTTCAAAGAGTGCTCTCTGTCCCAGGGAGGAGAAGACTGGGGGCGGGGAGCCATTTCTCATTAACATGGGCTTATAATTCAGGCTGCTTTGATCCGGGGAAGGCCATGGGTGTGTGTCACACCCTTGTGCACCAAAGAGCTGTTCAGAATGCCTGATGAGTATTTATCCACACGGAGTAATCTCTGTCCAGCAGGAGGTGCTAGCGAGCGCTATGGGATCCCTGGACTATGGGTTTCTCAGGGTTGCCCACTGTAGAAATGGTCACCTGAGTACTTCCCTCTGGAAGGCAGGCAGAACAGGGTAGACAGTGGCGCTGCTGCTGCTGCTGCAGTTGCTTGGCTAAAGCTGAAAGGTTGGGCATGGTGGTTGAAGGGTGGTGTGGGTCCTTGGCCCCGTTATGGAAGCGGGCTCTGAGTGCCACAGAGGGTGGTGTCCTTCCTGAGGAAGCTAGGCGTGAGAGAGATCCTTCTTATGGAATTGGTGGTAAGTCAGCGAGCTTTTGGGTCTGAGGCCTGAACACTGGAAAAGGTCCTTTGCAGGGAAGCCTGAAGCCTCCCTCAACGGTACACTTTTTTTGTGCTCTGCCCCCCGAATGTGTGTCTCCCCCCCCCCCCAGCTGTGAATGGCAAGCCAAGTGCTGCCTCCCTCCCTCCAACTGGCTACTTAACAACATATTTTGTGCTGTTTCTAGCGGTAAGGCTGTCGTATTCCTCTGAGAGGGGAGCCTAATAATAATAATAATAATAATAAATAATAATGATAATAAATAATAATGATTCATTATTATTTATACCCCACCCATCTGGCTGGGTTTCCCCAGCCACTCTGGGCGGCTTCCAACAGAACACTTAAAATACAATAACCTATTAATAAACATTAAAAGCTTCTCTAAACAGGGCTGCCTTCAGGTGTCTTCTAAAAGTTTGGTAGTTATTTTTCTCTTTGACATCTGGTGGGAGGGCGTTCCACAGGGCGGGTGCCACCACCGAGAAGGCCCTCTGCCTGGTTCCCTGTAACTTGGCTTCTCGCAGCGAGGGAACCGCCAGAAGGCCCTCGGCGCTGGACCTCAGCCTTGCAACTATAGCCTGAGTTTGGTGGGGTCCCGGCCTCCCCCCTCCCCTGCTGAAACAAACCAGCTTTAGTGCCATTTCTGGGATTCCTGTGGTGCTGGCTATGGGCCCCCCTCCCCTTTGTGGCCTTGCTACTAAAGAGCTGGTTTGACATCAACTGATAGGAAGTGCCTACAGAGGGTGGTGAATACAGCACAAGATACTATGGGCTGTCCCATGAATCCACTGGATGACATTGCAGAAGAACGTTGCCTCAGGAGAGTGAGGAAAATTCTCAGGGATGATTCACACCCTGGCCGGCACTTTCTTGATCTCCTGCCCTCGGGCAGAAGATACAGAAGCATGATTAGTCGCACCAACAGGGTAAAGAACAGCTTCTATCCGTGGGCTGTTAGGCTGCTGAATGAGAAGATAACAGCAGGGCAACTGACAATAAAGTATTTCAATTTCAATTTATTTCAGGCCCATGTGCAGTCGGGGATGGCTCCTTCTCACCCAACTGCCCATGCTCCAATGATGCTCATGACAACCCAGCCACCACCCGGTGGGGCCCAAGCCGCCATTGCGCAAAGTGCACTACAGCACATTCCAGTTTCAACAGCGACACACTTCCCCTACATGACGCACCCTTCAGGTGAGCCGAGTGTGTGCTTGGGAGCCGCCGCAGGTCCCAGGAAGGGGGATAAGGGAGAGAAGATGAAGGTTGTGTGGTGTGGTGAGCGCAGAAAGCTTGGGAGCGCAGAGAGGGGGAGCACAGAACAGGCACAACAAATGCACTTAAAATGCCCTCTCCCCCCACAACTGAATCGTTACTCCCTTCAGGAGCAGTCTTTATTTCCAATCATCATCATCAATCTTTATTACGGTCCAGAGACCCAACAAATTGTTACAAAGCAATACACAATTCATACAGCCTATCTCCAGGTTAAACAAGGATTTTGTTCAGAATATAGGGATCATTGGTTCTTGCAACCACCGATAAAAACTTTGCCACTGCTAATGTTCTAGCATTTGTCCGGTCTTCCAATAGGAACCTGACATAGTGAGCCTCTGATTTTGCCGGGAAAGGTACCAGCAAGGGTAGTATCAGTTCAGCCCTGGCTTGCTCATATTTTGCACGGTGCAACAAAATATGTTTTACGGAATCGATGTCTTGAGCACACGAGCAAAGTCTGTCCTGGTAGGGAACTCCTCTCAACCTGCCATCCAACACTGCAGAAGGGAAGACGTTTAGTCTGGCTTTGGTGAAAAGCCTTCGATAGTTTTATTTCAGAGTGAGGATCCTGTGACCTCCATATGTCATTGGACTGCACCAGCCCCAGCCAGGGTAGCCAGGAATGAGGGGCCAGGGGACTGGTAGTTCAAGGGGCCTCTGGAAGACCACAGGTTCCCTACCCTGGCTTCATGGGTACACCCAGCTGTGTTGTGAGTCTCCTGGCCTTTCCTCTCCCAGCACCTTAAATGGCAGCCTTGGTGTTGCTGCCTACACTTGGCCCTTGGCAGACTAGCCGTCATGCTCCAAAACCCATTCATGCTCATGCTTATTAAGAAAGCCTTCGCTGTGCTCACGCCACGTTTTTTAAAAGCACCCGCCGCCTGGTTTTCCATGTGTCGTGTTTTCCGTTCCTCTTCCCCACTCCTGCCACCCTGGCCCATGAGCAAGAATATGTGTTGCAGGTGGATAAAGGGTGTGGAAGTGTTTTATCTGAGAGAGACATCTCTTGTAGTAGCTGACCTGCTTTTTAAAATGCCCTTGGTAGGATTTGGGGTCTTTATCTCATGTCTCAACTCATTCTTCTCTCTCTCTCTCTTTTCCAGTACAAACCCACCATCAACAGCAGTTGTAAAGCTGACCTGGAGTAACTGTGAGGCTGGATCCCTCTTCGTTTCTTTCTTTTGTTTTTGTTTTTAGGCCAAATACCTTCCTTCTCCTGCTTCTACCAACTTGGAAGCACAGAAACAAAAACAGAAATCAAAACAAAATCTAGTATTTCACTTTATTTTTGTTTCTAAGAGGAAAAAAACAACAACCTTGTAACATCCAATAGGAATGCTAACAGTTCACTTTGCAGTGGGAGAAATTCGGACTGAAACAAAAGGCATGTAGAGCCCTTGTGGGACGATTCCATAATTCCATGTGTTGTGTCAAAAAAGGAAAACAAACAAACAAAAAAAGCCCTGCCCCATTTCCGCTTGCAGATAAAACTGGAAAAAAACTATTTATTTTTTAAAGCAACCCTTCAAAGTCACAAATTCATCAGCTAGAGAAAGACGTAACGAGAGTGATTCTTGCTGCTATTCTCACTAAAAAAAGAAAGAAATTAAATGAACATAAAAAGAAAATCAATACCTTTTACTTCTAACTAAACTTGAAAGAGGTTTGAAAAAAAGCAAGTTCTAATCGTCAAGCAGATATGGATTTATTATTTATAAAATCATGTTTGATGATGGGGGAAAGCCGCCGTCGCAAGGCAGCGGTGTAACTTTTAAGTTAAGAGGAAACTTTTACTTTGTAGATAATATAAAATAAAAACTTAAAAAAAATTAAAAATAAAAAAAGTTTTAAAAACTGACCTTTTTCTTCTGGAATCTGTATGCTTCACCTTGTTTCCTTTACCTATTTTCTGGTTTAGCAGTTCACTGGTGCATAAGATAGGCAGAGAGGCCTTTGGACAGGGGACCAAAAGAGGAAAAACTGAAAAACATCTGTCTTAAAGGTGGCTTCTGTATAAATGTGTGACTTGGGCCAACAAATGTGTTCTGGCAGATGAAGGGATGGTGGTGCTTCAGGCCATTAAAGCATTAAGCCTTCTCCAACCTAGTGTCCTCTGAGTGTTTTGGACTCATTCCCTAGCCAGCATGGTTAGAGACGAATGGGAATTGTGTTCCCAACAACATCTGGAGGGCACCTGGTTGGGGAAGGCTGCATTGGAAGTAGTCGTGCCAATGCTGATTTTCACAATCTTAACCAGAAACAGGGAATCTTCGGCATGGTGGCCAAATGTGGCCCTCCAGATTGGGTCCTTGGGACTCTCCACAGGCCACACCCCTCACTGGCCCTGCTTCACTCCCCCCCCCCATGTGTTTTGGACTGCCTGGAATGTACCCTTGAACTCTGATGACGCCTCTTGCTTGTTTGGAAGAAGGATATTGAGGCGTGTGTATGGAAAGGAGCATAGTCTGCAAATGGGGAAATTTGCCTGCTTTGCTTCACCCACGCATGTGGACCTGGGAAGGTTGCCCAGAACGGAATGCAGCCCCGATATAAACTTACTTTCACTTAGGAGTTGGTACTGCTGGATTAGCCTGAAGACCTAACTCTTTACCATACTCTGTCCAGCAGTAACCAGCAGCTGAATGCAACAGTCCTCCACACCCTAAGTTGTTCATTCCTCTATATATCAGAGGGAGATGCCTCTGGCATGGAAGCTTCACGGCTGCTTGGGCTCATAGCTTAAGAAAAGCTCATGGTGCACTCTTCCACCAACGGCTTCCTGAGCTAGTGACTCATCATCACAACGTAATTTGGGCTCAGGAATGCCTGAAGTGGGAGGTGTGTGTGATTAATGGAAACTCTTCCTTATGTTCTGTGCTCACAGGATGTAAGACTTGCGTCCTTCAGGCAGGCAGTTCTTCCCCGTTCCAAGAAGTGTGACTGATTTCAGCTTGAAAGCCGGAGAAACCAAGGTGGTGCCCTTCAAAAGTTGATGGGCTCCAAATTCACAGCAACCCGCACGGTTGATCCTGTTCTCTGGAGGGCACCACACTGGTTATTCCCATTTTCAAGTATCTTATCAGGTGATTTAAAAAGAAGATTCTGTAAGGATGGCTCCATAAAGAGAGGGGGGTGGAAGGAAAAAGAAATGACCACGGAACCAACCACTGAAAATTTCTAAAAACAGTTTTATTTTACTGCAGGGGCAGATCTGTATGCATATTTTTTAGCTGTATTAAAGAATAAGTTACATGTACAGTACATACAGAAACAATATATAGAAAAATTATACTATACAAGAGTAGAAAGGTAGAGAACAAGAACACTCAGTTTTTTTCTTTAAATGCCTATTTGGTTTTTTTAAAAAAAATAAATAGCAAGCTGTGGAGCTCATTCATTTGCTGCTGTTGATAGAGACTAATCTGTTAAGATTTTAAAATTTGGAAACCACAGTGCAGGGAGCTTATACCTACAGCTCACAGAGATGACGTCAAGTAAACTGTTCATGGCCGGGTGCTAGTCAGCCTTGGGGCTTTGCCATCCTGCTGTCCATCTCCTTTTGTGTGGAGCATCTTGAAGGACGACTGGCACAAATGTGAGGATGCAGCTGGACCCAGGTAAACTAATTTTACGCTGCATGTTGAGCCCCTTTGGAAGATGCCACCTGCAGGGCAATTCTGAGACTGAATGCAGGTTTGCCCCCAGCCTCTGAAAACCCTGCCCTCAATGAACACCTGCACTTGTATCAGAAATTGTAACGTCCCAGAAGGCTTTGAGCCCTGATTGATGTTCTGAGCAAACAAGCAGGATCTCTGATGGTGATGGTCAGGGGATGGAGAAAGAAATTTATTTGCATGAGCAGCCAAGCACTGCTGGTGATAGGGAAAAGGCACTTAATATCTAGGCAGAGACCTTGCTACTGCTCTACTACCGGTTATGTGGTTTGGAGCATTTAGGTTTACTAGGTAAGAAAGATCAGAGCAAGTTCCTTAAGAGAACTAAAAAATGGGCTGAAACCGGGGCGAGGGGGGGAGCAACCTGTGGTCCTTCAGATGTTTTTGGACTCCTGCTTTGAACAAACTTTCAGCAAAGTTCATTCCAGCACAAGGCATTAGTGTGATGAAATGCTAGCTAATCATAGGCCCTTTTACCGTCCAGCGGGCACATGGGTCCCATGCTTAAATCTGTGTGAGGTTAGCTTGTGTGGGCAACAGCTCAAAGAGGGAAAAGCATTTTTAAAAACCAACAACAAACCTCTAGTATCTTTGGGTACACAGCCATCATTTTGCATAACAATTTGCTAGACTGTGGACAACGTTGTTAACTTGACTATACTGTATATGGTTTGCCATTACCCATGTTTGTTTTCTGATACGTGCTACCCTCCCCATGCCCCCCAAAATCAGAACACCACCTCGGCCAAAGAGAATAATTGTTAGATTTTGCACACACAGCAGGGGAAAGATGGTAACGGCCTCTCCCATATATATTTTTTTAAAAATTTCCTTCTCTCTGCTGGTTTGGGGTACATTTTTAAAGCTATTTCCATTCTATATCAAGAGCAGATACCCTTGGTGCTAATATGCTGTTAGACCAGGCTTTCTGCTTTTTGGAGAGGTTCCCCCCAACTCTGGCGTTTGTGGCTTTGAGGATGCTGGAAAAGAGCAAATTCAGCGCTGTGTCGTTTTCATTGTGCTCCTAAAGTTAATGCATGATAAATGTGTGTCTTAACCTCACTGAGGTTCTTAGACTTCCTCTAAGAATTATGCTGTTAAAATTACTCTCAAAAGCATTTTAAGCATTTTTGAAACTGCTTAAAGGCAGCTGCTGTGGATTTTCTTTTAGAGGGGAAAAAAATCCCTGTAACCCTCGTAAGGTTGGTGTGGCGTTCGCAAAGAAGTCAGATTTAGAAATGGATCAGAAGCTATTGACTGTTTTGAGTATTTCTGTGCTGCACGGTTGGGCTTGAACTAGGGATGCTAAGCAACTTAAGACCAGAGTAGCCCTATGGGGCAAGGCAGAGATGCAAGATGACCCCCTTTCCCACTGGAATGGTTGGAAGGAAGCAGCTATTTGAGGCTAGGTCATCTTAACCTCAAAACATATAATTTCATAGCTCAGTGATGGAATGTCCCATGTCGTAACAGGGAAAACCTCTCTGCATGAGTCTTTGGAAGAGCTGGTCCAATGAGACAATACTGAACCAAGCAGACCAGTTGAGCTGACCAGCTGCTTCCTAGTAGGTTCAATTCCTTTTGACTTGCTCATGAGCATCCAATCCATTAATTGTAGGCTATTCCCTGACCCTTCCCTTGCTGTGTCTCTAGCTGATGTTGAAAGGAGATCTGTGTTGCCAGGAATGATGGCGCTTCTAGTTTAAGGTGGGGAGGCATAGCCCAGTTGTAGCATGCATGCGGGAGTCCTAAGGCTCAATCTCTGCCATTAGCCAGTTAAAGGACCACAGGTATGGGTGAGGCTCTCCAGAGGCTATGCCAATCTGGAGTACACAGTGTTAGGCTAGATGAGGGACAGTGATGGGATTGTTAAAAGGAACTTCCATCCACTCCACAAGTGTGATCTTCCTCTGCCTACTCAAGACAGGAACACCTTGCGCTCCTTGCTAGGAAGCCACAACAGTTGACTCTGTCTTACTTGTGGTGCAGTTGCATCGTTTTAGGCCTGCATGGAGGCTGATGGACCTGAGTGTTTAGATAGTTAAAGCCAAAAATTGTGCACAGGGGTAGTGGTGATGGCCTTCTGCCATGGTTATTCCTCTTGCCTGCACTTCCAACAACCACCCGGTTCTGTTTGTATTACCCTACTTGGAAGGAGCTTAAGTTTTAAAAAAGAAAACACAGATTTCCTTAGTTCCCAAGGGAGCCAAGAAATTAGCTCAGCTAAAGAGAGCTCAGTTGCCTTCATTCAGCAACAAAATGAGAGGCGGGTGATGGAAAGAGCAAATCAGATCAATTACTTGAGTCTAGTTGGATCTGGGGGTTTTCTTTCTTCCCCTTTTCCTCAAGTGGAGGAACATCGTTACAGAGACCAAAAAATATTGTATGTACCGGTAGCAACAAAAATAAACTAGGAGCCTAAAGCAAAGGAAGAGACATGTGCAAAACCGATGAGAGGATTGAGTGAAAAAACTTAACAGAGAGGCCATTTAATAAGCCGAATCGAAGGGTCCCATCCATAGTGGAGTGAGTTATCAATCTATCTTACAAACCAACACAGCCAAGCAGGCATGTGCAGAGCTTTCCTGAGGCCTGGGGCAGAGTCTTGTTAGAATAAAGTTATAAACTCAAACAAAAAAGCAGCCGGTCCCTGGTACACCGCCCCCCCCCACTGCCATCTTAGCCCTCCAAGGCTTGGGGCAAGTGTACCCAGCTGCCTCGCCCCAGCACGAGCCTGCAGCCAAGAGGAATAAGTCTTTTCCGTGGCTTTCTGAAACATTTATCCAGAGTCTTGTGCAAAAGCAGGCTGTTGGCCCATCCCGCTGTGTCAGAGGGATGTGTACTGGTTGTTAACCGCCCGCAGGTGGGACCTGCCTTGTGAGTCCATCTCGTAATCATTGTCCCACTGGCGCGTTGCAGGGCTGGTGGGTGGGCTGGTCAGGTGGCTGCTGGGCCACAGGCCGCTGGCCAGCTCTTCTGGAGGGGGCACCAGGTGGAATATCTGCTCCACTGAGGAGCTCTGTCGGAGGTTGTCGGCCAGGTGGATCCGCGGGCAGCTGGAAGGGGACAGCTGGACAAGGCTGAATTCCGGGTGGCAGTGGTGGACGGACGGGGAAAGGGGGACTGTGCTGCTGGAGCCTGCATTGGGAGGAAGAGAAATGAGGGGAAGTTATACTGAATATCCTAAAAATATGCTGACATAAGGGAATATGACCTTCCACAGACGGGGCGGCATGAACCGCATGCTAAAACAGGCAAGCCAAATTCTGCACTCTGTAGAGATTACGCAAACAAATAAGAGCGTCACAAGAGGCTGATCTGGCCAATGGCCCATCTAGTCCAGCATTTTGGTTTTATGGTGGCTAACCAGATGCCTCAGCTCACAAGCAGGACCCGAACACCCGAGCCCTTTCCCTTCCTGTGGCTTTACTGTCGCCAACTGTGGAGGCCGAGCATAGCCATCATGGCAAGGAGCCATTGATAGCCCTCCATGAAATGGTCCAGTCCTCTTTCAAAGGCATCCAAGATCGTGGCCATCACTGCCTCCTGTGGGAGAGAGTTCCATAGTTTATTCTGTATGGCAAAGTCCTTCCTTTTCCTTGTCATGAATCTTCCAACATACAGCTTCACTGGATGTCCGTAAGTTCCAGTGCTAAAACTATTAATTTTATCACTTCTATCATGTCGCCTCTAAACTAAAAAGGTGAGTAAGATGTGACTTGGCAGATATAGAACTATATGCCCCCCCTTTTTTTTTACAGTCTTGCTAGGGCAAGTTTCTAATATGGGGCACCTGACCACATCCTCAGCCATTGAAAATGTAAGGCGGTGTCAATTCATTTCTGATATTTGAGGAGGCACGACCCACCGACTCTTAAAAAAGTACCGTTAGCTGTAAGGACTAGAATCTTGTGTTTACTTTAAAGGTAAAGGTACCCCTGACCGTTAGGTCCAATTGCGGACGACTCTGGAGTTGCGTGCTCATCTCGCTCTATAGGCCAAGGGAGCCAGCGTTTGTCCGCAGACAGCTTCCGAACCAGAGCAGCGCATGGAAATGCTGTTTAACTTCCTGCTGGAGTGGTACCTATTTATCTACTTGCACTTGATGTGCTTTCAAACTGCTAGGTGGGCAGGAGCAGGGACTGAACAACGGGAGCTCACCCCATCGCGGGGATTTGAACAGCCGACCTTCAGATCGGCAAGCCCTGGGCTCTGTGGTTTAGACCACAGTGCCACCCACATCCCTTTGGTGTTTACTTTACAGAACACCAAATATGACATTCCATACAACTCCACAGTGGTGATAGGCACAATGGCCTGGTTCCATGTTTTCAGGAACCGTGATAAGCTGCAATGTCTCCACAGCTGCAAGGGCAGCACAGACAGCAGCCAAATAGCAGGTGAGGCACTCTGCTCCCTTCTCAACAAGACTCTGAAAGTTACTAGCCCTGAATGGACCTACAGTAGTCATTGCTGGCATGACTAGAAAAGAAACCAAGAACTAGCTAACTTTTACACTACTGTACCTGATTGCTTTGAGGTCATCCTTGTCTGCAACTAGCTAGATGTTCCTTGGTGGTGCTAAGAGCTTCCTTCTTTTCTGTTTCCAATTCCTGTATCAGCAAAGCAGGAATGGGCTATGTCACCCCCTAAGCAACACACATTCCTGCTTTGCACCTAAGCAGAAGCATCATATGTTGGTGATGTGATTTTATACACAACACACACACACACTTCTCCAGCTCAGTTCAGCAGGCAGAGGCTTCCAGCTGAGTGATCAAAAGCGGAAGAGAGTGGAGGATATGGCAAGGGATTTCCCCCACCAAATTACAGTGGAAGGAAACCACAAGCGCTGGTGTCCAAAGCCAGCTGCCTTCCTCATTCTAGAAGGACAGAGCCTTCGAATTCTCCAAGGCCTGCTGAAGCTGTTCCAGCAGGAATTCTAGAAAACAGCCCTTTCACCTTGATAGATGTTGGCAGAAAACAGAGGATGGTGTAAAAATCTTAACAAACTGTAAGTGTTCAGTGATCGCAGCCTTAGCATGATGAAGAGAGGAAAGTCCCCCAAGTTCAGTCCCCAGCCGTCTGTGCATCTGTCTGCCTCCGCTCCTTATTTCCTGCTTAAAGCCGAGTGTGGTTGGAAAAGGCCCAATGCATGGAAGAGACTAAATGGCAGCCATAGCTGCCTCCTACCTTGTGCATGTGGAAGAACCACTACATAGCTGGACAGCTGTACGTTGCAGGCCGTTCCGCACTCCAGGGGGATGGGGAAGCGCTGGAAGTGGTGCAACATGTCCAAAATGGAGGCAAAGTGCAGGTGCTGGACACGACACTGGCCCCTCTCGGTTAGGGAGAGCCGTAGGTGCTGCCAAGGTAATGGAAGCAGGAAGACACATGTCAGCAACAGCAGCCAATTCATACAGGTCATGTAAAAGTTTCAGCAAGGATCAGAAGGGCGTGTGCAAATCCCATCACCTGAGCCAGGGAGAAACCCCACTGCCTAACCTTCCCCAACCTGGTGTCTTGGACTACAAATCCCATGAGCGCCAGTCAGCATGGCCATGAGAGTTGTAGTCCAGCTCATTTCTCTCTCTCTTTTATAATTGCATTTTCCTCTCTTGCACTGAACATAATAAAAGTATACCAATCCACCAAAAGATTGTCTTTTTATTCCATTCCTCTTGCTATTTTTTGTTTAGCGATTAATTTTTCCATCAACACTAAATGCCAGACATCTCAACCATGTGGTCAATGCCCCATCCTCCAAGAAGCTGGCCAATAAGAGGCTTAAAATTCAGATTTATATTGTCCCCTGGGTAAAGATTAAGTAAAACCAACTCTGCGCCTTTGAATATTTTTGGTCCAGTTATCTAATTCCTTTGAATACATCCCCCCTGAATGTGGCTGCCTTATCGCAAGTCTGGACATTAAGTCTGGACGCAAGTCTGGACATTAAAAAAAAAAGCTATTTAGATATGAAGTCCAAGCGGGATTTCAACAGTGCTCCAGTTTGGGGCCATGAAAGCCTGCCAGCTAACGTACTGACTGGTGGCAGAGGGAGCCCCCTCAGCAAGAGACGCTGTACCTTTGCTCTTCCTTGGAAGTTGAAAGTGAGGACGTAGTCTCCCCTGCGGGTTTCACTCTGTCGGATGAGGAAAACCCCATGTCCGTCAAGGCCCTGGTGCTGAACCAGCTGAGCGGCTTTGACTCGAGAAATGGGGCCATGGAACCAGGGGAAGGATGTCAGGTAGTGGTCAGTCTTCTGGCCGTTCTGGTCTGGGAGGCTGGGTGGCATTGCCCCTAGGGGAGAGGGAAGGGCTCAGCTGTCATTTTAAACAATTTCTCCCCCCAGAAAAGCTCAAGGCAGCTATGGTAAAAGCGTGTTGCACCACACACAAGTGCTTACAGTTTGCAGAGCCAGAGAATTAGCAACACAAAACAAAAAATAGACAGCTTTGTTATTATCGGAGAACTCCCTTCTGTTGATTCCCCAGAGTACAGGAGCCTGAACTGCTCAACCAGATGTTTCTTGGTACTTTTTTCTTGAAAGGCATAGGAGAGGATCCCCCTCCAACCCCAAACCTCGCCCCAGATGAGCCCCAAATACCTTGGTTCAGGGAGTCCGTGCTGCTGGTTGTGGGGCTTGCAGTCACAGCCTCCGAGTGAGAGTCCGAGATCAGCTCAACGTCAGCGCCTTCTGACCTGAAAGAGGAGGGAATGTTTCTGATTGTGAGACACCAGCAGGACAGATAAAGTCCCTGCCCCCAAGGCCAACAACAAAAGATAAGGCAAAGAAAAGCAAAAAAGCGAAAGAAAGAGCTCCCTGATGGGGGTGAGGACCAGAAAACTTGAAATTCCAGGAAAAAATCCATATTGTTTTCTCTCAGCACAAGGCAGTGGTGAGTCTGCTGGCACTATAAAGGTAAAGGGACCCCTGACCGTTAACTCCAGTCGTGGCCGACTCTGGGGTTGCGGCGCTCATCTTGCTTTACTGGCCAAGGGAGCCGGCGTACAGCTTCCGGGTCATGTGGCCAGCATGACTAAGCCGCTTCTGGAGAACCAGAGCAGCGCACGAAACGCCGGTTACCTTCCCGCCGGAGCGGTACCTATTTATCTACTTGCACTTTGACGTGCTTTCAAACTGTATTTTATTTTGTATTTTATTGCATTCCCATTTTAGTTCCCTAGAACGCAATGGAAAATACGGTGATAAATAACAAAATGCAAGACAAGAAATAGAAACAGCAATCAAAATGCAATCAAAACGACTATTTCATGCGCTGCTCCCACCATTCTTCAAACACACTGTGCAGCTTGTGGGCCACCAGTGATCCCCAGACCAGAATTTGGGAACTCCTGCCGTGAAAATTAACCTTTGCAGGAGGAAGAGAACTGTTGGCATTACAGGCTTATTCACATGTTGCACTGAACACTGGTCCAAGTTGCTGTGTTTGTGTGAAAGAGATTTGTGCAGCACAACTATTTGGGCACACAGATTCCATGCTCAGATGTCACCCAAGTTGTCTTCACCACCCCCACCCCCCACTTACCAAGCGGCCTGGCACTAGTGACAAGTTTGGGACCTGATTTATGCTACCCCTGACCAAATACCCAGTGTTAATGTAGCCATTTTATACTCCGAAAAAGGGACACTGAACCTTGGAGAAGCAGGCAGATTGGGATAGTAATAGCTCTTAGGTTTTGGACACAGGGAGTTCCGTTGCCACCCAGCACTGCAGCTACAAGCTCAAAAAGGAGCCTGAAATTTGGTGGAGGGTGTGTGTGTGTGTGTGTGTGTGTGTGTGTGTGTGTGTGTGTGAATGAAAGGAATCACAGTATGGCTCTCTGCGAATCACAATACCACTTCTTGCCCTTGGCAGATTTCAGTAAGAGGAAGCTCCAAGAGGAAGTGGGAGGTCTTTAAAAGAATGGCACGAGAAACAGGTAGTACATTTTCCAAGAGGCGTGAGAGAGAGACGGGGCTTGCATCCACCTGGGCATCCCACACTCTGACTTGGGAAGGACTTTAAACCCCCAGGTACACAAGAGGAAGTTCTTGCTTCCTATGGACGCCAGGGCTTAAAACAAATCTCCCAAGCCAAGCAGAAGACAAGGTGCAGAAAGGACATGGATTCTGCAGTCCAAGTAATAATAATAATAATAATAATTTATTACTCGTATCCCGCCCATCCGGCTGGGTTTCCCCAGCCACTCTGGGCGGCTTCTAACAAGAGATTAAAAATACATTAAAACATCAGATATTAAAAACTTCCCTAAACAGGTCATCTTTAAAACCCCATGGGATATCCAGACCCTTTAATTCATTTCATAAAATGTATATCAGTACGCATATATACTAACAGCATATACTAACAGTAACACCTTTAGCTTGGCCTAGTAGCAAACTGGCATCCAGTGAAGATCTCAGAGCACAGGAGTTATATACTGCCCAGGAATAATAATAAATTATTATTATTATTAATTACTTATACCCCACCCATCTGGCTGGGTTTCCCCAGCCACTCTGGGCGGCTTCCAACAGGAGATTAAAAATACATTAAAACATCAGTCATTAAAAACCTCCCTAAACAGGGCTGCCTTCAGATGTCTTCTAAACGTCAGATAATTGTTTATTTCTTTGACATCTGGTGGGAAGGAGTTCCACAGGGCGGGCGCCACTACCGAGAAGGCCCTCTGCCTGGTTCCCTGTAACCTCACTTCTTGCAGGGAGGAAACTGCCAGAAGGCCCTCGGCGCTGGACCTCAGTGTCCGGGTAGAACGATGGGGGTGGAGACGCTCCTTCAGGTATACTGGGCCGAGGCCGTTTAGGGCTTTAAAGGTCAGCACCAACACTTTGAATTGTGCTCAGAAACATACTGGGAGCCAATGTAGGTCTTTCAAGACCGGTGTTATATGGTCTCGGCAGCCACTCCCAGTCACCGTCTGGCTTCCACATTATGGATTAGTTGTAGTTTCCGGGTCCCCTTCAAAGGTAGACCCACGCAGAGTGCATTGCAGTAGTCCAAGCGGGATATAACTAGAGCATGCATCTGGTTTAGACCTGATAGTCATTTATGGCCTTTTAAATTGTGCTATATTGTATTTGTTATGATGGTACGTATTTTTGTGTTTTTATACCCCGTCGCTGGCAATCTAATTCGGCACTTCTCCCAGCTTTAGAAATTTTAGTACTTACCAGTCACACACTTCAAAGCCAATATTTGGAGGCATAAGGCCGAGAAATAAAAATTGAATTCCTCTACCGATAATAAATAAAATAAAAATAAATAAATAATATAAATAAAATAAATAAAATAATAAATTAAAATAAATAAATAAATAATAAAACAATAAATTAAATAAATAATAAAATAATAAATAAAATAGATCAAGATTGAATTCCTCAACCAATTCTTCAGCTTTCCTGCATCGTTGCACACAAGGAACACCTAGTCCCACACCGTTTTCTTTCAGGTATGGCTATTTTCATCACAGAAGCCATCCTTACTCTGGGCATTTTCACCTCTACGTCAGTCCAGGCTATAGAGTACAGGAAATACCCAGTAAAGGATAGTGTGGAGTTGGAAAAAGATAAAAAAGGGCAATAAAAATGATGAGGATAGTATGAATCCCCCATAAGGAAAGCCTGCCGTGTTTGGGGCTTTAGAGAAAAGGTAAGTAACAGGAGACAGTATAGAAGTTTATAAAATTATGCCTGGCATGGGGAAAGTGGATAGACTAAAGTTTTTCTCACTCATAACTCTAGAATTCGTGGGCAACCCATCAGGCTGAACGTTGGAAGTTTCAGGACAGGCTTTTGTTTATTTAAAGAAGCAGGTTTCTAACCCTCATGAGGTGCTGAGAAAACTGGGGGTGGGGGGACATTCCTACGCACTTCCCTTCTTCCAATACCTTCTGTCCAGAGCTTGACTGGTACCAACCAAGGACCAGCCCTGGAACCACTTTTTAGGGCCTAGATTACGGCCTGCAATACATGAAGCAAAAGTCAACGCGAGAGACTCTGAGTATGTGAACCTGGATCCACACTGCGCAATAAGAGAGAAAGAAAATCTGCGCCAGGAAAAGGTGGACTCTGTAACCATCAAAAGATAATCTTGTCTAATTCGTTCTGCATCTGCTAATCAAGGCAGCCCAATGCCTCCCTTGCTTCAGATATTCCACAAGGAATCGCTGTACACATTCAAGCTTATCTTCCAGCCATGGGGACTAGAAATCCTCTTTTAAAAAAAAAAAAACACACAAAACAACACCCTAGCAATGAAAAACACCTGAAGAACTGCATCACACAGCCCTGGCACAGAGAGTAGTGGGGCAATAACTCACCCTCGATGGAGACACTCTTTAATTTCACACATCCAGGAACGCAGTTGCTGGTCATCTCCAGCCTCAAATACAACATCCATGGAGGTGTTCACCTGTGGCGGGGGGAAAGAAAAAGAAGATAAACACTGGGAGTTCTTCATAATGCTAAGGCAATGCTGTCTAGGTTCAGGTCATCTTTAAAACCCCATGGGATATCCAGACCCTTTAATTAATTTCATAAAATGTATATCAGTACGCATATATACTAACAGCATATGCTAACAGTAACACCTTCAGCTTGGCCTAGTAGCAAACTGGCATCCAGTGAAGATCTCAGAGCACAGGAGTTATATACTGCCCAGGAATAATAATAAATTATTATTATTATTATTAATTACTTATTCCCCAGCCATTCTGGGCGGCTTCCAACAGGAGATTAAAAATACATTAAAACATCAGTCATTAAAAACCTCCCTAAACAGGGCTGCCTTCAGATGTCTTCTAAACGTCAGATAATTGTTTATTTCTTTGACATCTGATGGGAGGGCGTTCCACAGGGCAGGCGCCACTACCGAGAAGGCCCTCTGCCTGGTTCCCTGTAACTTGGCTTCTCACAGTGAGGGAACCGCCAGAAGGCCCTTGGCGCTGGACCTCAGTGTCCGGGCAAAACGATGGGGGTGGAGACGCTCCTTCACGTATACTGGGCCGAGGCCATTTAGGGCTTTAAAGGTCAGCACCAACACTTTGAATTGTGCTCGGAAACGTACTGGGAGCCAATGTAGGTCTTTCAAGACCAGTGTTATGTGGACTTGGCAGCCACTCCCAGTCACCAGTCTAGCTGCCGCATTCTGGATTAGTTGTAGTTTCCAGGTAACCTTCAAAGGTAGCCCCACGTAGAGCGCATTGCAGTAGTCCAAGCAAGAGATAACTAAAGCATGCACCACTCTGGCGAGACAGTCCGCGGGCAGGTAGGGTCTCATCCTGCGTACCAGATGGAGCTGGTAGACAGCTGTCCTGGACACAGAATTGACCTGCACCTCCATGGACAGCTGTGAGTCCAGAATGACTCCCAGGCTACACACCTGGTCCTTCAGGGGCACAGTTACCCCATTCAAGGCCAGGGAGTCCCCCACACCTGCCTGCTCCCTGTCCCCCCCAAAACAGTACTTCTGTCTTGTCAGGATTGAACCTCAATCTGTTAGCCGCCAGGCATCCTCCAGATGCCCCTGAAGGGTCCCTCCCTCCCGTAAGTGCAGCAGCTGCAAAAGGATACCTTCAGCATCTTGAGGACAAAGGTGTCTGCGTGGTCCGGCATCTCCAGGCGAGTGCAGGGACGGATTTCTTGGATCTCTGAGCAGCTGGTCTGCAGCTTTGGCTTCGAACTCTGTGGAGAGAGGCAAGAAAAGCAGCCGCAGTGAGTCTGCGCACTGGTTGCACCAACGAGGCATCCCTCAGAGGATCTGGACTATGGGTAGAGCTGAACCGTACATTGAAAGGCACATCAAATGCACATTCAAAACACGTCTCTTGACCCCAAAGAATCCTGGGAACTGTAGGGTGCGGGGAATTGGTCTGCGAGGGGGAAACTGCAGTTCCCAGGATTCTTTTTTGGGGGGGTGGGTCATGTGCTTTGGAAGTGCACTGTGGATCAGCCCTGCACCTCCTGCTTGGTGAAAGCTATAGTCAAAAACATCTGGAACATTTCCAGGTTGGAGAAGCAGAGATCGTGTCCTAGGAGTCCAAAAAAATGGACCTAACATTTAGGGCTTATTATTTGATTCGTTAAAGTATTTGTTTGCTTCTGGTTATGTGGGCATCTCAATGAAAATCGCTGGAGGAGTTAGGTAGACTCTTCAAAAGCATCCTTAGAATATCATAAAAGGCTGGCGGCAGCAGCCAGGAGACAGAAAAAACATTTTCAGCAGGTGTTGGAAGTGCTTGACCATTTGCACTTGCCTTATTTTGGATGGGGAGTTAGGGAAATAAGGCGCGCACACCTTGATCCTGCTGCTAGAAAGTCTAGCTTTCTGTCTCTGAGAGTGGCCAACAAAATGTCTTTGGCCGGGACAAAAGAAAGGCAGAAATCTGGCAGCCTCGTTGCAACTCCCCCTTCCTGTGGTTTCCAATAACTGGTTGGAATTCAGAAGCATTGCTGCCTCCTCCATGAACCTCTCCAATCCTCTTAAAACCATCAGAGTTGGTAGCTCCCCCACCTTCTCCACTCAATGGTTCTCCAAGTGAGCAAGGAGAAGTGAATCCACAGCAGTTTCCACTCCCGTCCTCTGACACACGGCAATGAAGGCAGGGTGCTGGGAACAAAGCTCTGGCTGCAACCTGTCGTTGAGATTCCCACATTGCAGGGGGTTGGAATATATGACCCTTGGGGTCCTTTCCCCATGATTCTACAATTCTATGAAATACAAAACTGGGTCTTGAGCCTAGAGGGGGGGAAAACAGCAAGGGAAGGAATCGGAGCTCCCCACTCTGCAAGGCATGGGAAGGGTGAAAAGAAGCAGCTCTGATATTTGGGTTTCTGGACCAGCCACATTTGCCCCAACGACAAGTTCCGCACACCAGATTTTCCCTCGCCAGGATTCTGGCGAATGCAGAGTACAGCGGTACATCGGGTTACATATGCTTCAGGTTACAGACTCCGCTAACCCAGAAATAGTACCTCGGGTTAAGAACTTTGCTTCAGGATGGGAACATAAATCGTGCTTCGACGGCGCGGCAGCAGGAGGCCCCATCAGCTAAAGTGGTGCTTCAGGTTAAGAACAGTTTCAGGTTAAAAACGGACCTCCGGAACGAATTAAGTACTTAACCCGAGGTACCACTGTACACGCGGGACGCGGGTGGCGCTGTGGGTTAAACCACAGAGCCTAGGACTTGCCGATCAGAAGGTCGGCGGTTCGAATCCCCACGACGGGGTGAGCTCCCGTTGCTCAGTCCCTGCTCCTGCCAACCTAGCAGTTCGAAAGCACGTCAAAGTGCAAGTAGATAAATAGGTACCACTCCGGCAGGAAGGAAAACGGCGTTTCCGTGCGCTGCTCTGGTTCGCCAGAAGCGGCTTAGTCATGCTGGCCACATGACCCGGAAGCTGTACGCCGGCTCCCTTGGCCAATAAAGCAAGATGAGCGCCGAAACCCTAGAGTCGGTCACGACTGGACCTAATGGTCAGGGGTCCCTTTACCTTTACCACTGTACACAGATTTCATCCGTCATTCCACCCTCTGTTTAAAAGCTACCTCAGAATTCAGCTGCCTCTGTGGCTCAGCCTTTCAGGGGCCAAAGATCCAAGCAATGATGACATGTACCTCTCACTGTAAAAAGTTGAAGGGCCACAGTTTCTGGCCTGTTCAGACCCCAAGGGGGCTTTGACAGTGGCCGAATGGGTGGAGAAGCCACCTGGGGAGGAAGGCAGAAATCAATACATCCCTCCTTCCACCCTGATTTCTGACAACACCACTGTGACATACTCTGGGTGGAGGCTCATGGTGAATTTGCATTCACCCAAACAGCTGATCGCGGCCAGGGATTTGACCAAATAAAACATGCTAAGGGTGTTTCCTTAGTGGGAGCAAATGGTTGGGAGGTGGGCAGGAATAGGAATGTCTGGAGGGGAAACTTTTGATGAAGAGGGAGAGGAAAAGAGAGCCAGGGGGGGCACAGTCGTTAAAGTGTCAGACCAGGACTGGCAGAGACCAGGGTTCAAATCCTCTGGTTGGCCATAAAGATCGCTTGGTGACTTTGGGCCACTCACTGCCTCTCTCAGTCTAAGCTCGGACATAAATGCAATAAATGATAATAAATAAATAAAGCAGCAGTTTAAGAACAGAAAGACGGAACCAGAGAGAGAATTAAGAGCTTAAAGCAGCAAGTGAGGATCCTGTGACCTTCTAGGTCATGGGTAGGCAAACTAAGGCCCGGGGGCCGGATCCGGCCCAATCACCTTCTAAATCTGCAGACAGTCCAGGAATCAGCATGTTTTTACATGAGTAGAACGTGTCCTTTTATTTAAAATGCACCTCTGGGTTATTTGTGGGGCCTGCCTGGTGTTTTCACATGAGTAGAATGTGTCCTTTTATTTAAAATGCATCTCTGGGTTATTTGTGGGGCATAGGAATTCATTTCTTTTTTCCCTCCAAAATATAGTCCAGCCCCCCACAAGGTCTGAGGGGCAGTGGACCGGCCCCCTGCTGAAAAAGTTCGCTGACCCCTGTTCTAGGTAGTGGTGTACTCCAACTCCCATCAGCCCCGCTCAGAGCTGCCAAGGATGATGGGAGACGTAGTCCGGCAATCCCTGAAAAGCCACAGGTTCCCCATCCTTGAGCCACAGATTGAAGAAAACAAAATGTCCTCCCAAGGCAGCCCCCACATCCTGCCTGCTAGAAATTCCAGACCCTACAAGTGTCCCCTATTTTCCAGGGCCAGCCAAGGATTTACAGAAGCCATCCCGGTTTCTGATTTGATCCCATAATGTCCCGCTTTTCCTTAGGACGTCCCTTTTTTCATAGGAGGGTATGGAGTTACGTGACCCCCGAGCCAAGGGGATAAGAAACTATACAACCTTTAGAAGACATCTGAAGGCAGCCCTGTAGAGGGAAGCTTTCAAAAACGTTTAATGTTTTATTATCTTTTTATATATGGTGGAAGCCACCCAGAGTGGCTGGGGAAACCAGAAGCAAAACCCATATGGGCCGGGTAACAACAACAGTAGTAGTAGTAATAATAATAATAATAATAATAATAATAATAATAATAATAATAATAGAATAGGACGTCCCTGTTTCCATAATGTTGGAAGGTGTGCCATTCAGAATCCTGATTAGACCACTCCAGCTTTGAGATTACACCTAGTAACCCAGATTGCTTTAAAGCTCACCCTTCTCCACTGTCAAGAGGACTAGAACCTTGGAATTTAAACAGATGTATTTTCGGCAGAGAACCTCACTGTATTCAGTGACCACTTCCACTTCCCGTGCTCCCTTGACGTGATGGAGGAGCACAGAAAGCTCCCGACGGGTGTAAAAGATTCCATGCGGTGCCTCTGGACCACAGGGGGTGTGCATTCTTGCCCCTCCCACCCTGCTCCCGAAACGCCACCTTCCTTGGCAATTATGCCACCCCAAGAAACCAGGAGGGGAAAATGAGACAACAGCTGGGACCAGTTCCCCCAACTGATGCAGAAGGACTGGCACAAAAAGGGTCGGATTCTGAGAGCTGGCGTGAGGCGCGGGAATGCTGAGCCAATGCAGGAAGCCTGATGACGCAATCGGTTTACCAGACAGGCCATTTCCATCCCCAGCTGATGGGCTGGCTTGGATTTTTCCACAGGCCGAGAGCCTCAGAAATCCTCTTGGCCGAGAGGGGCGGCCGGCGTGACTCACTGGCATTAAGGAGCCATAAGCCAAACGGGGTCAGCGGTGTTAGCAGACGGGCAGCAGGGTGGCCAGGAGGGACCCAACCAGCCAAACCCCAGGCCTGATGGATGCTGGCAAAGCACCACCCTGCAAGGCTGTGGGGGGGGGGGGAACAGGGGACGGCCGGCTCTGCTGGAGGTTACACAAAGCAGCAACAAACTGAAACGAAAACAACCCCACAGCTGCTGGAGATTCCAGCATCTGTGAAACCGCTTGCAGATCGAGGGCTGCAGAAGTCATCCAGGGAGGAAGACAGAGAGATGCCTCTTCCCCCAGGCGGAAGGGAACCGGAGGGGAGGCCAGCTTAAAAAGGCCAGAGGCACCCCCCCCCAAAAAAAAGCCCCATTCACGTGTCCTGGAGTCAGTGCTGGGCCATCGGCTTCGCCCCTTCCCAAATGATCTTCCCAAGGATGGTGAATATATCTATTAATCAACACACAAGAGCAGATCATTTAGAATCACAGAATCTTAAGAGTTGGAAGGGACCTTCGAGGGTCATCTAGTCCAACCCCCTGGAATGCAGGAATCTCAGCAAAAGCATTCATGGCAGATGGCCGTCCAACCTCTGCTTAAAAACCTCCAAGGAAGGAGAGCCCAGAACCTTCTGGAATGAGTCTGCCATTAGCTAAAGTGGTACCTCAGGTTAAGAACAGTTTCAGGTTAAGAACGGACCTCCAGAACGAATTAAGTACAGTGGTACTTGGGGTTACATATGCTTCAGGTTACAGACGCTTCAGGTTACAGACTCCGCTAACCCAGAAATATTGCTTCAGGTTAAGAACTTTGCTTCAGGATGAGAACAGAAATTGTGCTTTGGCAGTGCGGCGGCAGCAGGAGGCCCCATTAGCTAAAGTGGTGCTTCACGTTAAGAACAGTTTCAGGTTAAGTACGGACCTCCGGAACGAATTAAGTACTTAACCTGAGGTGCCACTGTACTTAACCCGAGGTAAAGGTAAAGGGACCC